CTCTTTTCACCCCTACTACATTCTTTGCCAACTCTTCCTTCAGGACCATCTTACTTTCTTTCTCTTTCTATCCACACCATGGTAAAACAGTTTGAACCCTGCTCCAATGCTGCAAGTCTTGCTGCCCTTCCAGTTGGTCTCTTGGACACATAAAACGTCTACCTTCCTTCTCTGCATCATGTCAAGCCGCTCTCTACCTTTGCCTGTTATTGTCTCCACATTTAGAGTTTCAACCCTCAGTTCTACATTCTTGACTTTCCTCTTCTCCCTCTGCCTCGTGACATGTTTCCCTCCTCGTGGTCTTCAACTAACAGCAGCACAATTTCCACCAGCACCCTGTTTATATATTATGTACAAAAATAATTGGGACAAAGCACTAAAGGTGGTGCAAAGGAGGCCTGTTGTAATTATGTTAATTTGTCTGTGAAAAATAAATAACCATTTTAGAAGTCTGAATATGCACAAAAATGCCTGACGTTTTGCACACATATAAAGAGGTACGAAGTTTTTAGGAATTTCTGGTGTCATTATAGAAACATTGCTTAACAGCACCATCCAAGGTAACAGCCCCTTAAAGCAGTCTCATGTATAGATGTAAAATTTTATTTATACCTGTTCTACAGAAAATGGTCATTTCTGCCATTTAGGATAAAAACGCAGTTGTCTTTTCAATTTTTACAACATTTTTTCTTGCTTGTATGTCTTGTAAATACAGTTGCAATGTTTATTGGTGTTGCTGTGTCGTGAATCTTCCACATTTAACCCTGCTGTCTTTTAAGTATGAGAAGTTGTGCATGTGGACATTTACAATAGCAGTCAAATCTTGTGTTCATAGGCTTGATTAAATTTAGGTTAAGTAAAAAAAAGGTAAGCTTTGATTATTAAATAGAAAATCAATGTTCAAAATACAAGTCTAGGGAACTATTACTGAACAGATCCGGTCAAATTAGGAGTGGCTAATAGAGATGTAGCACAATGTACAAAATTTATTAATCAATATTTATTTCCCTGTTTGCACAAGAATCAATTTTATTTTTCAAAATATGTGTTGTTAAATTTTATTGAAGTTCTGTAGATTGAAAATCAGAAGAGGCAAAATGTGGAAAAATGCAGTGCTAATATACGAAACATCAGAACACAATCTTGTTGACATAAATATTTTGTATTGTTAGATTCTGATCAATAAAATGCACAACAGCGTAACTGACAAATCCATAAAAAGATACATTCCTTTATTTGTTTTCATATTACAGAAAACATACCAGACGGAAAAAAAAAGGTCAGTCGTTTCCAAAGTTGGATTGACCTGCCTTTTCACGTGTATCTGATTGTTGCAGAAAAAAACAACTGCATTGCCTAAACTGCCCCACGTTAGCTGAATTAAAATGAAATGGCAAGAAAGAAGAGTTAATTTACTGGTAGATGCACTGCCTGTTTGTATGAAAAGCAGCAGCTTGACACTGAAGCAAGTTCACAAAATAAAGGTGGAAGAAATAAGACTGATAACAGAAATGGCTTCATGCATTTATAAGAAATAATAATGAAAACACTTCAGCGGATGGATATCAGGAGGGTGTATATAAAATATTAAAAGGCGGCCCGTTTGAGATCGTACAATCACTTTCAACTTCACATGTGAATTTGCCAAATTGTAAATGTTCCTGAACAACCTGAAGCTGCTTCAGCTCGCCCAGTATTAGCTTCGGACTTAATGACAAAACTAATAAAAGCAAAACTTGGATGAATTAAAATACCAAAAATGGACAAAAGGCTTTGAACCACAGAACATTTAACAGCCACACAAGTGCATCTCTGGACACAAAGAAAACAATAATAAAACCATAATCGTCAGCAACACTCAAGTTTGTAGACTCAAAAGGAGTCCTTACAATCATGAATACATTCAGGACACACATTCATTGTTATTTTTTTTTGTTGGTCTTAGTCCAAAACTAAACAGTATCTATACAGCAGAGATCAAAACATACAATCAGAGCTGGATACACATTCTTTTCATGCAGTTCAGTGGAAATATCAAACTCTCTTGCCATTTTTTCTTCTGTTTACAGACATTCAACATTGTTTGAGGCCACTGTTGCACAAGGTGGATGTTTGACTTGAGGTGTGTGAGCACTTATGTCATGACAGTGCATGCAATCTTTTTTTAAGCTTTCCCGCCTTTGAGACAATAGCACAGTGAACTGTAAGAACATTGCCAAACGTATAGCTGGACGGTACTTTTCCACTAATCACATACCAAATGGCAATATAAGAGCACTAGGATACTGCACAGCCTAAATAAAACTAATGTAATCTTTGGTTTTTATCAAAATTAGGTTTAGAAAATTTTTGACACTCAGAAGTTGACAGTACTGAGTTTAAAAGAAGCCCTCTGGAAATATGTAGAAATGTTTAGGTAGGCTAGCTTCTGTTACAGTGTGGGTCTAATAACGTATCAACACTAACATAAATTTTAGATTCAAAACATTCTTTAGATGCTTTAAAAATTTTCGAGTTTTAGGGATTACCGGGTATGTGGTTTCATTGCAGTTTGTCTCAACAAGCAAGTCAAAACTGGACTTAAGACTGATTTATATTAAACTGATTGAGCTTGACGATAAAACATCTCTACTTTCTAATATCATCCATCCATTCATCTATCATCCATCCATCCATCCATCAGCTTCCATTTCTTCTGAGGTCGGGTCTCAGGGCCAGCAGCTTGAGCAGGGAGGCCAAGACGTCTCGTTCCACAGCCACCTCTTCCAGCTCTTCTGGGAGGACCCCAAGGCATTTGCAGGCCAACCAAGACACATAGTCTCTCCAGCATGTCCTGGGTCTTCCCCAGGGTCTCCTGCCTGAAGCACATCCCTAGGGAGGCGCCCAGGAAGCATCATTACCAGATACCCGAACCACCTCAACTGGCTCCTCTCGATGTGGAGGAGCAGCGATTGTGCTCCGAAATTCTCCCAGATAACTGAACTTCTCACACTATCTTTAAGAGAGAGTCCAGCTACCCCGCAGAGGAAACTCATTTCAACCTCCTGCATCCATGATCTCATTCTTTTGTTCACTACCCAGAGTTCGTGACCATAGGTCAGGGTAGGAACGTAGACTGACCAGTAAACAGAGTGCTTTGTCTTACAGCTCATCTCCCTCTTCACCACAACGGACCGGTACAGAGTCCACAATACTGCAGATGCTGCACCAATCCATCTGTCAATCCTTCCCTGACTCATAAACAAGACTCCAAGATACTTGAACTCCTCTACTTGAGGCAGAACCTCACCCTCGACCTCAAGAGAGCAATCCAGCCTTTTCCAACTGAGGACCTTGGCCTCAGATTTGGAGGTACTGATTCTCATCCCAGCCGCTTCACACTCGTCTGCAAACAGCTCCAGAAACTTTTCAAAACCAGAGTTTTGTTTTATATTGCACAAGAGTCACCCTGAAAAAATAGAAGCTTTCAGATTACTTTGATAGGCGTCTCAGTGCTTAATCCTTAAGGACTAATTTCAAGCTATGAGGGAAGAACATGTGATGATTTTTGTATTGGTCCTAGCAGACAAATGTCCTTAATCCCTGCAAAGTTGAGTAGCAGATGTCAAAGCAGGTAATTGTGCTTTTATATGGTGCAGCTATGTCCACACAAATCTGTTTGTCACTGAAAACTCAACTGAAAAAAAAAACCTTTGTTTTGCTGTCACCAAAAAATACAGCGGTTGATGCACACAAAGAATTTTTGATGGACTTTGAGTCCTTTGAATGAACATCTGAACTGTTTGGGCACAGTGAAGGAGATGAAAGGATGCCAAAATTTTCGACTGAAACAGCTCTTCATAATTTTTACTATTAACACTTCACTGTGAAAAAGATGAATTCAAATATAAGTTGGCAATTCTCTGATGAAATGACAGACGTTTGCCGAAAATCCGCAGAATACAGGGATATTTCCTGCAACAGAAAAATAGTCCAAAGAACTAGCTGGACCCTGGAAACATCACACAGGAGTCTGGACACCAACAACCAGTCAAATCAATGAATAATCAAAACATTGGTTACTGAATGTGTTACTGGTTAGATCCCATTTTAACATTCAAAATGAGTTTGTTCTGTTTGCCAAAAGAGGCGAGGGTTAGTAGCCATGCTGAAACCAAACAGCCAAAAAAAAACAAAAAAACAAACAGATAATCATTAGAAGTTCATACTTTAAGAAATGAGATTAATATTCATTTGATTACAACTACCATGTTTTTTCCTCTTTACTAGAAAAGGTAAACGAGCCTGGCTTCTTTTAGCTTGTTTACTGAGCGCACAATGTTTTAATGACCTGATGTGAGTCACGGCCTGCTCTCCTCTCCTCCATCACTACCCTGTGCACATCAAAACATCTAGCTATGTCTCCACATGCCTAATTTGAGTAAAACTTAAAAACTAAGGGCTGAGTACGTGTAGCTTTCAAGTAATTTCAGTAGATTATGGTAAGCCCTAATAATAACTGTAGCTAATTGTTAAAAACGTAAAACTTCTTTGATAATAATGTGCTTTTTAGAAATTTGTAGGTAATAAATCCCAATACCAATCGTGTACAAACATACTTTGATTAATATATTAGACCTATAATATTTGAAGTGACAAGCCTCTAATCGATGTACCTGCCAAAACTGTTGTAGTTACTCATTTAAATACGATTCATGCTAAAATGTAGATGTTTCCTTGAATAACCTTGATGTTGTAAAGTTCACCATCTTACTAATTTTATGTCTTGTTTCAATAAGTTTCATGGAATCAACTCATCTAACAAAAATAAAACAAAATAAAAAGCAGCTACTTGACACTTAGGTTGCAGATATAAGGGCACATGTACTTTTACATAATGGCTAGACACAAATAAAGATGCAGAGTCCTAACCAGTGGCCTCTGAACCCTGTTTTCTTGGTTAGAGAACCAAAATGTCCTGAAGGCAAACATGGAATTCTGCAGATCATGGCTCTATGGATGACATAACAAGAGGAAGCTTGGGCAGAGAGAAAAGAGAAAGAGAGGTAGTGGTTGTTTCTCAAATCTTCACACCTGCCGCCTCCTCCCTTGATTTTGAAAATGTTTCATGTAGAGTCTGATCCAACTGCTTCCCACACCCCACATATTCGTTTGTTTTTGAGATATTGGGCTTCCATCTCTTTTAGGATGTATGTGATCATTTCCAAATGTGGGCTGCCATGTGTGCTGAACTTGGAGCTGCTGAACTTCCCGTGTGCTGGCTGCCGTATCCCATCGTGCCATTGGTGTTGTAGAGATTCACGCCAGCCATGTGTTGAGTCACCTGGAAAGAAACAAAACACACTTTGTTAGCGGCAGCAGAGTCTCTGTGTTCAAAATGAGCATGAGCCAGAGCTAATAAAACACCTGACTGATGTTCCACTGAAGCTGCTGCTGGGGTTGCTGCGCTCCATAAACTTGTTGTTGGGGTACTGTAGCTAAGCCTCCCATCTGCTGATGTCCCATCATGCCACTTTGCTGCTGTCCCATCATGCTGCTCTGCTGCTGTGCCATTATTCCATTCTGCTGCTGTCCCATCATGCCCTGGCTCATTCCTGCCATGTAGGGTGATGCCACACTGCCAGACTGTGCCACAATACCCTGAGCACCCATTAAGCCATTCTGCTGTCCCATCATGCCGTTTGGTTGAACCCCCATCATGCCGCTCTGCTGCTGTCCCATCATGGCCATTTGTGATGCCATCATGGCTCCTCCCATTCCACCCACCTGGGCTAAAGAATGGTACGGACCATAAGGATGTGTTGGGTATCCCACTCGGTTCATGTACAGACCTGCTGAAAACAATCACGTATACAGTTATGCCAAAAATATAATCATCCTCAACTAAAATCTGACAAATCTGTGTAGCTCTCACCGTGTGCACCCATACTGCTGGCGTGCACTGAGGGGGTGGAGGCGTACAGCGAGAGAATAGAATCCTTGGACAGCTTCTTGACAGCACCTTCCTCTGATTTGGGTTTGGGGTCCAGAAACAGACTGAGGTTTTCAGGCACTGAGGCGGTCACTCTGCTCTGAGGCAAAGAGCTGGAAACAGGCTGGAGGGTGGAAAACAGAATGGACAGACAAAGACAAATAGAAAAGGTGAGGAGGGTGCAATCTTAAAACAAACCCAATAAAAACGTCACTGCAATAATATAGCAAATATAGTACATGCAGTAAAAGTAGATATGGTTGTCTACTACCGTGGTTTTTGTAGAAGACGCTGGGGAGGGGGCTGGGAAGGAGCTGAAGAGATCCAGGGCAGTGTGTGAGTGAGCTGGATTAGACACCACTGGGCTCTCATTACTGTCTGGAACACATCCGCCCCCATTAGACACCACAGGACTTGGAGCAGGAGGATCTAATGGAAGGTAGACGGAAAAGCAGTGATTGTTAAAATGGTTCCAATGATGATCAGTTAGCCATTTACAAATCAAATAATCAAATTAAACTTCACATTTTATACCCTAATGTAGAGGCAATATATGTGATGTGGCTTTAAAAGGACCAATTTAAAAAGACTTAATTTTGCAAGAGAAGTGAAAAGAAGAGGCATTACACGGGTAAAAGGAGTGCATGTGAGGAGGATTACCCAGTCCAAGCAGATCTGTAACAGTCTGAGAGACTGTCTTCGGGCTGATGTCTTTTTTCTGAAAAGAATCAATAGAGTTAATGCAACGTATCGACATTGATGAAAGGAGATGAATGCAAAACTTTTTTTTCAACAAGGGCTTTATCAACGACTTTAGGAGTTCTGACATTGCAATGTTGGTGTCAGTCTGCCAATTTTTAATAGAAATTTTATTTTATGATCAAATCAGATGGAACAGTGAAAAATGCACCTACCAATTTCATCTTTTCAAACACGACTGGTTCTTTGGGGATGTTGTCACAACTCTTTTCTTTCTGGAAAGACAAAGCACATACAGTGGGTTAAATTAAAGACAATGCTGAAGGCCTGGTAAAAATGTATCACCAAGTGTTTATCTGAATGATTCAAACCCCCCAACTTTTTTATTATCCTGATTATACAAACTTACCCTAAGCATCTGGATGTCGATGACCTTATCTATATATTTCTTCTTTTCATACTTGTCCCTGATGAAGATCTCTGCAGCTTGGTCGGTCTCGGGGCGTTGGAAGCACTCGGGTAAAAAAGCCTCGTAGAGACGCTTGGCCTTGGCGTTCCCCATCTCTTGAACACACTGAGGTCACCAAAGCAACACAAATTCACATTATTCAAAAGTGCATTAATGGAAATATCTATATAT